TAGCAAAGCTAGCTTAGCTACATACACACATACATTCATACATACATGCATATGGATTGATATGGATGGGTAAATAAATACAGATAGATGAAAACAGATGGATGCATGGGTGGGTAGATAGATAGATAGATGATAGATAGATAGATAGATAGATAGAATATATAAGGCACTGAAGTTAAATGCTTATCTTGTCTCGGTTCCTGTAACCACTTTTTGGTTCATTCTTTATAAGAACTATTTTCAGGTAAGAGTGGGGGTGTGTTTCCTCACATTTTTGGGTCCAAATCATGTGGAAATGAGCTGCAGTGACTAGTGGAGTGTGTAGAAGTCCTCAGGTGTGCTGGACTGGAAAGGAAGCCGAGAACTTCTAATTTATGGTGGAGCCAGGTCAATAAGCAGTTGCTGATGTCTTTTAATAAAGAGTGGAGAGTACGTGTTAACTTTTGGCCATGGTTTCTTTGGTGGAGGAGTTTATAATGTAAAGATAGAAAAGTGGCCTAACTTAGACATTAAAACGTCCTTAGAAAATAAAGCAAGAGATAGTAGAAAATAGAGAGCTGAAAAAACTCAGAGGGAGCAGACCATGAGCTGTGATTTCAACAGAGTAAACAGAGGGAGAGAGGAGTAAGGTTTGGCTGATGGAAAAACAGAGGCTGTTTCCTGGCAAAACTCACAGCCAGAATAGAGTGAGTTTATGGGCAGCCAAAACACAAATAGTAGCTGGAATAGAGGTAAAGCGGCAAAGGAGTTAGAAAGTGGAGAGCTTTACAAGTGTCATTCAGAAATTTGTATTTGATGTGGGGGTTTTATGGGAGTGATATGGCCAAAGAGGACATCAAAAAAGTTATTTCAGATGTAAGGCATACAACAGATAAATAAGGATAGATCCAAGGGAAAGTCAGATGAAAGTCTGGCAGTTATAGCTTGAGGAATCTAATGGATAAGAGATAGAAAAAAAAGAGGCAGCACTATAGAGGGGCTGCAAATTTAGGAACAGTGCATTTTCACTATTAAGTATAGAAATTAGCTGAAACTTCTCTGTCTAATCACTTAGACTTGCAGCACTTCCTACTGATTCACTGTCACCTTTGCGCTCTCCAGATTGTTCTCTCATGTCTCAACTTTTTAAAGTGGCTTTTTTCTTTTTTTCTTTGCTAGGAGAAATTCATGAGAGTATAATGCACAGATGAAGTAGTTTAAAAAAACACAACAACTCATAATCAGCTTTGTAGTCACTGCCTAGGTGTTTGTCCCACCAGGGATCAATTTGCCTTGATTGTCTGGAATCCCCTGAGAGTGAGCCTCACAAGACTGATACCAACTAAAAATACCTTATGGAAGTTTTCATACACCAGAGTAGAAAGAATAGCTTCAATGGTTATCAACAATTTGTCTATTTTTATTTATTGATAGAAATTAAAATCTTATATGATAGAATAAAATAACCAATATAATTTTCAATTACCAGAGCTTGTTCAGCTAATATTTTAAAATCTACTAATCATCATTTTATTTTATAAATAAAAGATGCAGGCAGATGTAGAAACAAAAGAAAAACATTTTGTAGCCCAAGAATGGTCATGGTAAATAGTTTACATGAATTCTAAGAACTTCTAAATTGGAATATATTTTTATATCACTTGAGATCATGATTTATAGAGCTTGAATTGGAATTTTCCTCTTAATACCAATTAACAGGTATATCACTCATAAGCTACTTTTATTTTTGTGGAATAATAACACTTATTTGAATAGGACTTGCATACATTTTGTAAATATTTTCACCCATTTATATATTAATTAACAAATATTTAAATACTTCTGTACCAGGGCCTGAGTTAGGGACTTGGAAAATATTATTCATTTGATATACTAATATTTACTCTAAGATGATTTTTTTTTTCTGTACCGGGGATCAAACTCAGGACCTTGTGCTTGCAAGGCAGGCACGGTGCCACTGAGCTAAGTCCCTGGCACTAAGATGATTTTTAAGGTGAGACCAGTGATGTTCCTTTATAACAGAGGAAATATTACAGCTACATGAAATTCATAGATAATCCCTAAGCTTCAATTTAATCAACCTAGAGTCTAAATAAATTGACCAATTTCTTTCACTTTTTTATGTCAGTTTTATTGTCACATCAGTGACAATACCTGAAGAAGAGGAGGAGCTGCAAAGTGACTAGTCAATTCCTGAATAAACACGAATTATCAGATACTAGTCGTTGTTGCTACAAGTGTGAATCATTCATGTCAGTTTCTATAAGTAGGTCATCTTATCTGTTAAGTGATTGCTTTTGATTCATTTTGTAACTCCTACCAATTTTAGGGATTGTGATAACCATTTCAGATACACATCTTTTTGTCTAATTTATGTGATCTATGCAAACATTACTCTTCCCATCTGAAGCACTAGGAAGACCGAGGACTGGTCCATAAAGTCCTCTAAAAGGATGGAAGTCTGTAAGACTTACAGTCTTATAGACTACAAGAACAGTACTGGTTAATGATAGAGATATAGAGATGGACAGGGGGAGGAGAGGGAGAGGGAGAGGAAGAGGGATGAGGATAGGGACAGGGAGATAGACATTGATTGATTCTCACATTGTTTGCAACTGACAACTTTCAAAGCACTAAAAAGAAGAAGTTTGTAGTAGTCTGATAAATACAGACTTAGGTTCATGTCCCTTTAGTCTTTATTATATAAATGCACTGTGCATATAAAACACTACAGGTGTTGCTGCGTGTAACTGTAGGGAGATGGCTGAGAAGGGAAACCACAGCTCAGCTTGCTCCTTTGTGTGATTAGGGGAAAATTTCTCATTCTGATTCCTGGAGACCGTGCCCACTGCTGCCAGATCTCCTTGGAAAAACTGAATGTTTGAGTCATTTACTTATAACCACTTACTGTTGTTTTCTTAGGAAAATTAAAAATGAGTGCTTGACAAAATATATTTCCAGAGTTTGAAGTTGTGAATGAAAAGAACATGTATGTGTATTTGCATACTCTGTATTCATGCACCTGTTTGCCATACTTCATAGATTCTAAAACTTGCCTTTTCACACTTCAACATCTTGGAAATTGGTATGTATCTATGATTTGTGATGTCTTATAATCACTGTCTACTTGTTTTACTGTTAGCATCTGAGTTCTTCAGGCAGTTTACAAGCAGCAGAGTCTTAGATCGCATGACATACAACTCATATCCAAATATTTGCAGAACACTGGTTGCAGAGAGATGAGGAGGCCACTTCTCCTTTACCCAAAAAGTAAAGTAAGAAGATTTATGTTAACAATAACAGTTGAGGCCAAGAGAAACCATTCTGTCATGGAATCCCGTTTCCTTAATTAAGTCATATACACATGCAATTCTTCTTATGATCCCAAGTGATCTAAAAATTAGTGTGCAAATTTACAATGTGTAATACAATCTGTAAAATATTTTTAAAGATTTGGTCACCACTTTTACATTCAGCTCTTTGTAACAAGTGTTCATAGTTCAGCAAAAAGAGTGAAAATCATTTCTGCCATTTGTCTGAGTGTGTAAGAAAGCTATCTTGCCTTACTACTCATGCCTTCAGCAAAACCCACTATATGCAAGACTGTAGATTAAATCATTAGAGATTAACTGACTATTTAAACAATATAAGATTGTTAAGATTCAAAAAAGAGACTGAACCTCTTTATTTATTGTAGTGTAGAACACTAAGAAAAGTACCTATAATCTACAGAAGACATAGATTCTACTCCTGGGGTAGAACTCTGGTAGATGATTTCAGATTTTAAGCCTGGTTAACAGAGGACTTTTTTTTTAATAGGTAAAGCTAAATATGGCCACATGGAATGAATTTGCTATTGAGCAAGATGTACAAGGAGAAACAGTAGCATTCATTCAATTATTGAAATATTTGTTGAAAGATTATTGTATGCCAGACACAGGCACAGGGATTAGCCCTTAATAATTCTTTCCAACCCTAAAGTTCTATAATTTTGACCTTTGTGATCTATGGCAAGTTGCCTAACCTACTAGAGACTATCTACTTGTTCAAAATAAAATGGGGTAGGAGATACTTGCCCTACCTCCTTCTTTGGACTTTGAGATAATGCACATTAAAGCATTTTATAAATGGTAACATTTTATACAATTATTATGCCTGTATCTGTGAATATTTATGTTCTTCACACTAGATATATACATCTCTCTCTGAATCTCTGTGAATATTTACATTCTTCATACTCTCTCCATATATATATAATATATATGAACTTAATTGTCTTCAAAAGTTATCCACTTTCTTCCTTTTGGCACTTTTCCTAACTTAGAAAAATCTAACAGGTTTTGGCAATGATTTCGTTATATTACATTATATTTGCCTCTAGATCAAATATTAAATTGGGAGGTAAAGGAAGGGTATTCTGAGGAATATGTTTAATATGATGTCAGTGCCTGGAAGTGTTCTTTACAGTTTGGAATTAGGAATTGCTGATGTCATGATCAGTCATAGTTCCGTGACAACACCAGAATTTCCTCATTTGACTTCTCTCTGCCTGGGGAGTATCAATTTGCCGCAGGTCTGTCATCAGTTTGCTCCATGTGTTAAGTGTATTAGATAACCCAAAATTAGTCACTCTTAAGAACTCTTAGAATGGGGGAGTTTTATAAGTTCCTAAGGTATCCTATTTCATTACACTGTGTATCCTAATGTTGAAAAGTTTGCCTTCATACATATTCCACCAAATAGAAACATATTTGTAATTCTGTATGTTCATGTTTTAGCTTTATAATTCTGTGCAGAACGAAAAGCTTTTTCAGCCTTCTCATTTACATAAAGGATGTCATTAATTATTCTAGGATGCTCTTCAGGTGAAAAAGACATGATTGAATGGTGATTGTCTTTCGGTGAGACACAATATTCAACACTCACAACTTAAAGGAGGAGAGGTTTAATTTATTTTGGGTTTCAGTCATGACCAGGTGACTCCAAGACAGAGACATCATGGCTGAAAGCTAAGCAATGCTGCTTAGCTCAGGGTGACCAGGAAGCAGAGCAGGGGAACAGTGCCAGAACCAAAGGAATGAGAGACCAGACACAGACTCGAAGGCCTGGCCTTCATGACCCATCCAGACACACCTAGAAGCATACTCCACCAATTCCCCTGGCCAATCCCAAAGCCAGTGGAGTTGAAACTCCACCCTAACTGCTACAGTGATCTTAGCAACTGAGGAGAAAAGTAAGTGTTGATTTTTTTTTTCCTTCTGTGTTAACTTGTGTTATGGATCCACCACAGACATTCAGGAGCATATGATAATAACATTTTGCCATTCTTAGATTATTTGAGAGTTTTGTTTGTCCCAGGTACAGTCTGCTGGATACTGTCAATGTTGTCATTCATACAGTTGAATTATACTCATGGAAAGGAGATGGTCATTCCAGGTTCAGATTAATTTTGTTTCCATGATTTCATGATTTTGGCTCAAAATTCTGTTTATTTCCTAAGTACTTTCTGTCTCTTCTCAGGTCAAGAGGTGGATATGATTAGTATTTTTCCCACCACACCAGTCCCTTCCTTTCCTCAGCTCTTAACCTTGAGTTCGGTCACACACATAAAGGATTATGTTACTTCCAGCTCTTTAGGTAAACAATCTCAAAGATTACCTAGTAAATGTCTTCCTTTCATAAGTTTCTTTCTTGTAAGATTTATTATAATTCTTGGAAACTTTCTTGAATTATCTAAAATGTAGCCTGGAAATAAGCCCTTATATTTTTATAGACTTGCCTGTAGGCAATACAGGATTTCCACAAAGCATATAAAGGATTGAGACATCCATCTGGGTAATTTAACAATCCACAACAAAGAACTTTTCTTTGTTCCACAAGAAAGGAACTTTTCTTTGTCCTGGTTTCCTAAATAGTTGGCTTTATTTTTCTATAGAATTTGATCTACAAGTACAAATTCATTGCAGTATAAAAACCTTGAACTTTTAACTCACATAACTTTTCTTTACTATTTTCTGAAAAGAATAAGCCATGTACCTATTTTGATAGAAAAATATGGAAAGGGAAATTTATCTTTTAGAGAATTCTTATGCCAAAATTTCAAGTGGGCTTTGAATTTTTAACTATTTGCAAGAACACAGTAATAACTAATTACGTCCAAAAAACTTCGTGTGTTTTGAATTTGACGTGTTTTTCCATAGAAAGAAATGTCCTAAATGATGAGTTCAATTTTAGTTAACCTATAAGCACTTATGAATCCCATAATGAAATTAATCTCTAATATGGTCTCCCATTATTTTTTTGTGGAAAAATATGTTCTCAGTTCCAGTTCAGATTTCTGGAAATACCTTTCAGCGAAATACCATCTTAGCATCTAGAAGATAGCTCTCTGTGCCTCTCAACTTTATCCTACCAACTATCACAGAAAATGAAACCGCTGGCAAGAAAGGAGTGTTCCTTAGCAACCATTAATTAAGTGAGATTTAGGCACTAGATTAGGGCCAAAATATTTATCTTTACTATTCAGTATATATTCTAATAGTGGGAAGTTTGCCCTCAGAGTCAACTGAATAGAAACTCAATATACAGATGCTCCTCAAATTATGGCAGGGTTATGTCCTCATAAGCCATTGTAACCTGAAGATATCATAAGTTGAAATGCATTTCATACACCTAACCTAGTGGACATCATAGCTTAGCAATACACTCCACTTAGGGAATTGGTTGTTTCCCCTTGTGATTATGTGGTTGTCTGGGAGCTGTAGCATTGTAGTGCAGCTTGGACTTCATCATAGCTAATAGTAATAATAACCACCATTAATATTAATGTAGGGAGAAGACTTTGGAGTTAGAGAGACCTGAGTTCAAATACCAGATCTACTTGTATCAGATCTGTGAACCTGGGCAGCTTACTTAAAACTCTGGGCCCGTTTCCTCATTACTGAAATGTGGTAGTCATTCTCGTGTGTGTGTGTGTGTGTGTGTGTGTGTGTGTGTGTGTAACACATTTAGAAAATGCCTGGAATATAGAATATCCAATAAATGACTACTATTGTTATTAGTCTATGCAGAGAAACAGCAGCGGAGCAAAATTTGTTTTTTCTGTTTTGCTCATCAGGATAAATTTACGAATCATCAGAACATGGCTTCTGGTCAGACTCATCAGAATATGGCTATGTTTTTGTCATCCTGTATACATTCTAGGATTACAGTTATAGTTTTATTTTATTATAGTTGTTTCATTTTTATATAGATGTGATTTTTATGTGTCTAGGGGGTCTTTAAGTCTGGAGTAAGAATTGCATATTTTTTAAAAAACAAAATAATAAATAGAAAATATGGTCGCTACTTTAGAAATAGGCATTTTATCAACCCTATTTTGTACCAAGAAAGAAAAGAAATTTAAAATTTTGCTTATGTCACATTTTTTTCTTTTTTGTTTTGCTGGGAACCAGAGGTTTTGTGAGCTTTTAAACATAGAGACTATAAAATGTGAATAGTATTTTAGTGTGACCTACTTACACTAACCAGTACTGTGCTGCTATATTTTGTGCATTAAAGGTTGTAATTTGAAATAATGTTAAATGAATATTTCCTCTTAATTCTTTTCTTCTTGCAATTTGACCCAAGTAAACAATGTCTGACTTGCTTTAGGAAGGACAGAACCTGCTACAGGTCTTCTTTTCTTGATAAAGATATTCTATTTTTATCTCATTGGACATCTTCTCCTTCAAAACTTAGCTCCACCACTATACTTACATTTTAGTAATTTCACCCAAATGTTCCCCTCTTGTTAGGGGCTGAGTAATATGTGTATTAAGGTTTATTAGAGAAAGACTCTCCTAGGTTTTAAATTCTTCTTCATCTTCCCCTTTCACAAACTTTTTATCTATTAGCAATGATTTCAGCTGGATTGTCACAAATCTCATCTTTTTTTTATACTAGTCTCCTTTGTCTAGTTCTGTTTTTCTAGTTATTTGCACAGAGCTTCTTTCTGTACATTACTCTAACAAACCAGCCTGTCCCCCTCAATCTCTCCACCCTATGAACTCCCATAGCACGTTACTGGCTAATCCACTTGCCAGCCACTTACCACTTTAATGCCTGGCATGATTGGTGTACAACAACTTGGGTGACATAGGTGACAAGTACTCACACTCCCCTGAGAATTACAGCATTATCAATAAGGCTTTTCTGAGATACAGCATTAGAGTTGAGGATGTACAGGACTAAGTGAATGTTTTAACCCTGGGTAGTTCAAGATTTTAAAGTTGGTTTGCTTTTACTTACTAGCTCTGTGGGTAGATCAGTCACCCTTAACTTGTCTCCCCCATCTCCACAATGAATTTAATGAATGACCCTTCCACAGTTATACTGTGGTTGTGAAAGTGAAATAAGATGTGAAAGATTTAAAAATGAAAGTTTCATTTTTGAATTGTTTCTGTGCAATAAATACCCTGTAGCTCTGGCTTCCAAATTCCAGTTGCACAAGATCTTTTAAGTCATAGAAGGCATTATTGCCTGTAAGTCTCATCTCCCCTACTAGATTGCAGGCTTCTGCATGTACTGGTTGCTCCATCCTTACTATTCTTGTCTCACAGAGTATGATCTCTGACACTGCTCACAGTCTTCCCATTCACACAGAAATGGCCCTGCTCCAACACATAGTTTCTTTAAAGAAAACTGAACAATAAATGAAGAAAAACTTCAGTATGCTGAAGCCCTTGAAACAGACCCTGTGCCAGACTTTTTTTTAACCTTTTAAAGTTAAATCTGTAGTACACACAGTCTTAGAAAGCATGTTCATTCAGCCATTAATAGATATTAGAAGTGGCTTCCCCTTACCTACATTTGCTCTTTTCATTTGCTGTTGTTTCTTGTTTCTATTCTTGGATGGTCAGCCGGACTTATGATAAGCATCAGATATTTACACAGCACACCCACTTAAATCTGCAAGCAACACTATAAAAGCCTCGAAAACAATAACAGCGGCCAGTTATTGAGTTTGGTACTGTTTTTGGTGTACTGTACTTAAGACAACCCTGTGAAGACAATCTTGGACCCAGAGAAGTCAACAAACTTGCCCAAACTATGAGGCTCATAAGTGGGAAGCTGAAATGTGGAACCAAACCTACTGGGTTGTTTTAATTTTGTTCTTTGGCTTGCGAAGTCCAGATTCCTTTGAGCTATCTGAGTGTGTGTGTGAGGGGCGGGGTTATGTATATGCATGGTATTTTAAGAGCTGTTTCAAGTCTGAAAAGGAGCTCCGGGGACTACCTCTTCCTCCAGCATCTCACAGCCAAGTGCTCACCCGCTTCTGGCTCTGCTGCCACTCAGCTTCCTGTTTACTCATAGTTTCTGCTTCCTCATAACCTTGGCTTGTATATGGTTTTGGCTTGTTGTGGCCTCAATGTTACCCCCTTGCATTCCTGTAGTTTCTGCCCCTTTACTAACTGGTTCAACTTTCCTAGTTTTCTGAATCAAATTCACAAGGGTGAGAATAGGATTGGTCCTACTCATTTTTTCAACCCTAGCCAGGTCACAGGTCATTGACCAGTCCGTGGATTGGCTGCCCTTAGGGTCAGCTTTACCTGACCCTGCTGAGGGATTCCGGGAGGATGCTGTATGACCACACAGGCAGCAAAGTCTCAGTTTCCCTTCAGAGAGGATGTGCATCACCACAGTTCCAAAGCCCTTATTCTTATGACAACTTGCAGTCTCTCTGAACTGTTTCTTTACTTTCTTTTTTAAAAAAACATATTTGTTTCAAAGGTCAGTTCACTTTTCCAGATGAAGTTTGCTAGTATTGATCCTTATAGTCACACTTAGCACTAAGCATTTTTTGAATGACTATAATTGATATGTATGATATATATCTCTATCTATCTATCTATCTACCTACCTACCTATATAGATATAGATATTTCTGTTTCCCTTACGTTGGGTTCTTTGGGTCTGAATGATGTAATTGCATTTTACATTTTTTTGAGTGTGCACAATCAATCTTTTCCTGTCTTATAATGGTTTATTTAGTTAGGATTGTACACCCTACACAAGTTTGGAACTTTTGAACCTTGGTGGGCATAGTTTTTTTTTGTTTTGTTTTGTTTTTTTTAAGAATACATGCCCTGTATTCTCTCCTTCTGTGCCATTTGCTATTATACAACATACTATATGCTGATTTTTAGATATCCTTTTTGGTCTTAAAGATAATGACCTTTTATGTTCTTTTAG